AATATAAATTTTAGTCCATAATACATATACTCTCTTCTCTCTATATAGGCAAAGCATTTAGGTATTATATTTGAAATTAATTATTGCCACAACAAGCATTGTTGCTTCTAGTAAAATAGAAGAGAATAATTTTTAAAATTGGTCTTAGATTAAGGTCCTTGAAAATTTTGTTGAGGTCCTTGAAAAGTCCTGGAAAGTCCTTGAATTTCAATCTCATTATAGAGTGGGAACCCTGAACTATTCATAGAAGACAGGAATAAAAACATTGGAACTAATTTGATTGCTTGATAAAACTTTTAAGTGTTTCTTATAAATGCTTTTACACCGGCCAGGTGGCTGAGCAGACAGCGTGCCTGACTGTGAAGCCAGTGGCTGCGGGGACAGTGTGCCTGACTGTGAAGCCAGTGGCTGCGGGTTTGAATCCCGCTCAGGGCGGGGATGATTCTGTCTCTGTGTGTTGTTCTCTGTTGTTTGATGTGTGAATGTGGCCCACCCTGTGAATGGGTATCTGTGGCAGTGTGGCATGGGTAATGTTGCTCGCCTCCATGGCTTAGGTTCACAGGTGCCCACTGGGTAACGTTAAATGAGCAGCACTTCCAGCATCTTCCGATGTGAAGAACAAAAATTCAGTGCCTGCTGTTAGATAAAAATAATAAAAAATGCTTCCCCACCACTTCCCCAGGCAATCATAGACATTTGTTGTTTTTATTCTTGCCTTCCTCCCAAATTATACCAGCAGGTTTTGATTTAGCTTTAAAAATTATTATTAAATTCTATGTAATAATTTTAGATGATTAATAACTGATAAAATTTAATTTCTATATATTATAGGTTTGAACAAACTTAAAGTTGAAATTTAATTTCTTTTCTTATCATCTTTTGATTTTTTCTATTATGCAATTGATCAGTACTGGTAGTATTTTTTTAAATTTATGTTCGACTTTACACTTGTCCATGATCAGCATGTGGAATATACTAATTTTTGTGTATAAGCTTATATTTGATGGAGAGAAACTAATGTTTTGAACTCTTTTAATCTGGAATCTAAATATTAACATTTTGAGGTGACAAAAATGTTAGTTAAATGTCTTTTAATGACTCATGTGTGTTTTTTTTTATGAAAATAAAATGCAAATTGAAAAAAAGACTTTATTAAGTTTACTTTTTATTTAGTGAATATTTAACAGAAAGTAAAAATTATAAAATCTACTTAGTTAAGTAGAAATCTCGTTCCAGGGTCCTTTTCAAAATTAAGTATCATTGAAAAACTAGAAAAGGAAGAAAAAATGTTTTTTGGGGATATGTAATTTTTAAAAATAAATAGACACATACATCTTTACTATTTAAATTATTTTTTGTTCAGTTCTTTTTTTCATTAAGTATTGATATATATTTTTTTTAGCTAGATATGATAAAAATTGTCTAATCTGTTATCATAATTCCTATTAATTTTAAGTGTTTTCTGCAAAGATGCTTCCTATGAAACTTTAATATTATTACTTTTCTAACATGTAATTTAAAATCTAAAAAAAAAAAAAAAAAAACTTGTAAATAATATCATGTTGGTTGCCAAGCCTTTTTTAGCAGATAAGGTGACAGACAAAACGTTCTTAAGAACAAAAATTTAGGAAGCTAAATAATTCCAGAACATTTATAAAACTTGATTTTGTTCTTTTTTAAAAAAAATAAAATAAACTTTAATAAACCAAATTATTTTGATGAAAGAAAAACTTTTCTTTATGTAACTTATTATCTTAATTTGATGTATAAAAAAAACACTCATCATTAAAAAGCTTCTACTACATCAACCAGATTTAAAACATTCAAAATAGCCGCTTATACTTCTGTTCTAAACAGTTTTAATTGTTAAACAAGTGTGGTTATAAGTAAATTCTAATTATGAAGTTTAAAAAATAAGCGTATTGTAACAAATGTGACATCAATTTGTGAACAACAGTATTTGGTTATGTAAAAACTTATTTCTTTTTACTCAGAAGTAAAAGGCATCTATCATAACTCGCCATCTCATTTTATTTGTGGCCAGATATTTTATCTCTTTCCATGTCTTGCTTATTGTTTTCAATTCATTTATAATCACCCTTTGCCAAGTATTTTTTAGTTCTTCCTCTTTATTTTTATATTGCTCTGAGGGTTCCAATAAAAACTTTGTTTTACTTTAACTTTCTTAGGTTTACATAGAACTTGACCAATCCATTTCCAGTTCAATTTTTTTCTCTTTTGTTGCACCAATGATTTCTACTTTACAAATTTTATGGAACCCTTTGATATATGAGATTCTTCTTAAATTGTTGTTAATAAATAGTTGAAGTTTTTTCATGTATGTGCCATCTCTCTGGTTATATTTTCAGTTCTCTTTCAATTATTTTTTTTTTAAATACTGTTATTTCTTAATTATTGCCTTATAATTTTTATATTTTGTTATTGAAAATGTCTATTAATGACAATGCTAATAAAAGACTCTCATACCACTTTTCTATTTGCTCTTTATTAAATTTTTAATTCTGCATGATTTTTCTTTCTTTTTTTAAAAAAACAAATTACATTAGATGATATCAATTTATATTTTTCAATCTACTCTGAGAAATCTTTTACTTTTTTTTCTTTTTTGTTCAATTCTATCATGTATTTAATGTTTTAATATTGTGGATTTTTGGAACCTATGTAAAAATACTTATGACATCTATGCTGAACATTTTTTGAGAAAATCTGCGGAAGTCTTAAGAGTGTACAAGTGCTATTTTTCCTAGTCTGATAAAGCAAAGCTATTATAAACTACATTATTTTAAAGGTAGAATAATATTCTATCACATAACATTAGTCAAAAATAAAAATTTAAATCAAACAAAAATAAAAAAAATTTAACCTAAATCCAAGATGTCTTATGTTAACAAGAAAGTTTTTTATTTCACCTGTTAAGGCTTGTGTTAATGGACGTTTTTTGATATTCCTTCTATCCAAACTCTGTTTTTTTATATATATATATATAATAATCAAAAACATTGTTTGCTATTTAATGCAAAATGGGACTTTCTTCTTGCAGAACTGTTAGAAGATTTAGAAGTTTTTCTGTGTGTAGTTATTTCATTACTAATTCTTATTTTTCTATTTTAGGATAACCTACCATCATGTGCAGATTGCATTGAGCTTGGAGGTCCTTGTGGTGTTAGTAATATATTGCTGTTTTTATAATATTAGATATATGATGTAGAATTAGGATTACCTACCATCATATGCTAAACATGATAATCTAGGGTGTCCTTATGGTGTTAATATTACATTGCTTTTTTAAATTAAAGGTGTATTTAAAATTTAAATGGAAACTTAATTGTTAATTTTTTTACTTATTAAATTAAAATTTAATTATATTTTAAGATTATTAGCATGGATTTATTTAGATAAACGTTTATTTTATCAGCACTTATACTAAGCTCACTCTTAAGACTAAAAAATGTTGAATTGAATCACTGATTGTATATTTTTTATGTTGTTGTCATGTCTATGCATGCAGTGCTAGTGCAAAGATTAGAGTCCTCCAAAAGTCTTGATAACAAGATTTACAAGTTCTGGAGCGCGATGGCCATGGAGAATTTCAATGGGGGGTGCTCCAAGTTGAAAGAGGGAGCCGATAATGGCCTGGCTGTCAAAAGCATGGTCTGGAGTTAGTTACAAATGAGGACAGTACTTGCAGATGGGATAGGATTTTATACTGTTGCGTGAGATCTTCATACCCTTGAAATGTCTAGTACGTAGCCTAGCTATTGTAGAGGAGAGGTTTCTTGGGCAGTTTAGATCAGGGATTGTTGCTTTATATTTTTTATATATAGATATTATTAATTATAGAAAGATTATATATATATTATTAATTATAGGTATTATTAATTATATTTTTTTAAGGTAAATATTATTAATTATAGAGAGAAGTTGAAAATATGTGTTTTTAAGATTGCTGCATTGAAATTTCTGCGCTGAAATAATTTAAAACAAAAAGTGTTTTTTATTAGGCTGGAATAGTTTTTAATTGTGAGAATATTATATTTTTAGGTACTTACGAAATTTCCACTCGGCCTCAAAAAATACTTGTTGCTTCAATTTGGCAATTGATTTAATGATGCATAATTTTTTTTATGTAACTTAAACCAATTTTTTAACTTTTTATTACTTTTTTTCTGACCATCCCAGAAACTTTGCATTTTTTCATTAAGCAAAATACATTTTTAAAAATTGTCTTGTCAACATAAAGATTAACTGTATTTAGTATCATTTGGCATGATACTATTGTTCATGATTGTCAAAAGTTACTGCTTTCAAGCAATTTTCTCCAGCATGTAAACCTTTTGACGAGTCGCAAAAGCTTATTTCTGTAGTCCTTATAGTAAATACCAATATTTATTACGCATCATTGGCATTATTATTAGTGTGGTGATTTCTTATGGTTCCTCTAAACCAGTGGTTACCAATCTTTTACAGCTACATAAACCTAAATGATTGAGCATCTTTTGACAGAACCCCAAATATGTAAATAAAATTTATCAAAAGCTGTGGACATTGTTGGAAAAAAATGTTGAATTGAATCACTGATTGTATATTTTTTATAAATGATATTATTATGATACATATATTATTATGATATATATATTATTATGATAGTATTCAATGGGTATAATGAAATTTTTTCGATATCTGTTTTATCAATAGAATTCTTACAATAATAGATTTTATGTCAACAATTAAATTGGCAGGACTGTAGCAGTATCTAGTATAGTTCTGAATTTATTTTTGGTGCATATATTTGATGAAAACGAATAAAATGAGCTGAATTATAGTTTTAGAAAAATAACTCTTATAAACATTGAGAATAGGTAGCAGCGAAACATAATTGGTTATTTTTGAATTTGGTTATTTTATTTCAAATTGAAAAGTTGATGAGAAATATTAAAGAAATTTTTTATAAATTTTGCTGCTTCTTTTTTTTGCAGGCATTTTACTTAAATAATTTTATAAAAATAACCAAAATATCAAGTAAATTATAGCTTATTGTTTAGATATAAGTATAATAACAGGCTTCATAAAATATTACTAATTTAAAACACTCGGAACCCTTGTGTCCTTTCCGCACAACTTTAGAGTTCCACAAGCAGCATTTGGGAATCGCTGCTCTAAACAAATAAGTAAACAAATATATTATATATCTTTATATTAGGATGTATTCATATATTTGTATAATAATTTCAAATATACTATTTCACACATATGATGATTTGAAAATATCCTCTTAGCTGTTTTACGTTTTTAATCAGTTTTTTACTGTTTTTATCAGTTTTCAATACTAATCATGTCAATAATCTAATTGCAATAAAATCATATTATAGCAATTGTTTGAAGTGCAATAAAACTATGTATTTGTATTAAGAATTTTTTTGTTTCATTTTCATTAGTGATTACATTAGTGTAATTTGTAAAAATTGCATATATTTTTAGGCTTGCTATAAATTAATTCCAGTGATTGACAAAATACCAGAAATAGATCAAAACTCTTTAAAATATGTCAGAAGCGTTCTGGACGATGTGGTTGGTAAGTAAAATACATTATTAAAGGTGACTATGATTTTTGGTCATAAATATCCATTTATTTCTGATATGTTCTCAATCATAAAACTGAAAAACAGTGATGCTGAAAGGAAAATAAAAAAACCTTATCATTGTAATGCATATTAGTTTAGTTTTTTTAATCTATTTAAATTTTGTATTTAATCATCATTAGCCATTATATTTATATATAATAAATAATCAATTTTTTTATTATTTAAAGTTTATTTACAGATATTTTTGATGTTCTTAGATTTATCTTAGTGTTATATTTAAACTACTGAATATGATTCTATTTCTCTAAATTATTCTCATTTCTTGGGGAAAGTACGACCTAAAAATTTAAATTAAGATTTTTTAAAAGTACTTAGATGCTGAATTAAAATAAATTTTTTTAATATTTACTTTTAATTTATTTTTTAATTTCTTTGTTGAAACTTTGAATTTTACTCAATATAAAAACAAAACTGTTTAATAGTGAAATGAAATACACTATATATTCAGTTACTGTCATACTCTACTTAACATGGCACTATCAATGATACTAGAGTCACTCGGAAATGTTATTGCCTAGGTTTTTGAAGTTACATTTCCCTAACTTTGGGAGTGTTCAAAGTATCCTCCAGCATCAATGTTTTTTTTCCGGTAAATTTTCAAAGTTTAATGGCCTCCAACCTTCTTGGAATCAATGAGAAAAATGCATTTGTAGCCTCATCTGTTGTCTCCTCTTTGAAACAGAAAAAACGCCTCATCATTTTTTTGCCTACAGCCTTCTTGGAATCAATGAGAAAAATGCATTTGTAGCCTCATCTGTTGTCTCCTCTTTGAAATAGAAAAGACGCCTCATCATTTTTTTTTGCCTCCAGCCTTCTTGGAATCAATGAGAAAAATGCATTTGTAGCCTCATCGGTTGTCTCCTTTTTGAAATAGAAAAGGCGCCTCATCATTTTTTGGTGAATTAAAAATAGCTAGTAGTCTTACTTAGCTAGATAAGGTGGATATTCTATTGCTTTGGTGTGTTTAAGGAACTCATTTCTCAATCATGTTGAGTGAGAAAATGTATTGTCATAGGGAAGCAAGTGTCCTCTAACATTCAAACCTTGCAGACTATCTGAAGGGCATTTACTAGTGTACCAGTTAGCTGTTCTACCATCTTGACAGTTTTAACCCATCCTGTATTTCTGAAGATAATGGCATTTAGGCATGCTTGTACATCAAAAGATGGTGTGTATGTTTCCTCACCATTTACAATTTTAAAAATAGAGTGGGGGCTACCATTTTTAGGTACATTATTAAAGGATTTCTTTACTGGTTCACACATGCTGCTCTTGCTCAGTAAATTAATGGCAAACTATTTTTTTATTTATACTCTTTATTAATAACTTTATGTATGAATTAAGTGGACATACTATTACTTTGATGTGTTTTTGTGTTCAAGGAACTCGTTTATCAATCTTGTTGAAGGAGAAAATTCATTGTCATAGTGAAGCAAGTGTTGTCTAACATTCGGTTCTTGCAGACTGTCTGGAGGACATATAATTATGTACCAGTTAGCTGTCATATCAGCTGGATGACTTTAACCCATCCTGCACTTCTGAAGAAAACAGAAAACACTTTTCATAGCATATTATCTTTTCACCATTGTGTGTGTGGAAGCACAGGGTCGTCTTTAAAAACTCCCATTTTATATTTTAACATATTTGAATGTCACAAAATGATGTGTACATTTCATCAACATTTACAATTATAAAAATAATGTAGTGGCTACCATTTTTAGATGATTGATTAAAGGATTTCTTTAAGCTCCTCGTGCTCAGTTAAATTATGGGTAAATCAATAACAAATTGTTTTTTTTTTAAGTATGCAACTCTTTATTTGATAATGTTAGGTATGATGGGCTATCTATTGTTAAGTTCCTAGTGAATCAATAGGTAGGTACTGCAATTATCATTGATTAATATTTTCTACGTGGCAGACACATTATCTGGAATTACAGCTGACGATGGTCTTCCTGTGTGTTTTTCATTCTGATATGAAAAGGATTGTGAACCCTGTGAAATTCTATTAACCTTATGTATGCAGGACAATATTAGATCTTCATTTCCAAATGTATATATATTTTTATTTTATAACCGTCGGTGAACAGTCAACCTAATTTTTTAATTTTTTTTTTATTTACGACTACTAATGTTCAACTCTGTATCCTTGTAATTTTGAACTCAATCCAGAAGTCAAGGGAACTCCTGTATCAAGTATTGGGAGAAATTTGCCTTCATGGAGGACTTTTTGATGGAACTAACCCACATTTGCATTACTTGGAGAGGAAAACCACGAATACCTCCCACTGTTAGCCTGGCAGCAAAGGGACTGTGATTGATGCAAGCCGGATGCAGATTCATATCGACCTGCCATCACTGGGTTTCGAACCAGGTTAGCCACATTGGAAGGATGCCCTGAGTCGTCGCAGCTGTCCAAATATATATTGAGCACATTCTTCTTGATTTAAATTAACTTTTCAATTATAAATCTCTTTGACTCCATTTATCCTCCTGTCTAAAATTTATTTTATGCTAAATTACTTGCAATAAGTCAATTAAAAAATCATCATTTAGTTTGAAATAATTAATATTTTCAAATCAAATCAAATATTTCTACCATTTCTCATCTGCCTGTGTCTCAAAAATTTCAGAGTGATTTTGATATCACAGATAGCTCTGGCCAACCACTTGTTTCCTGATTACGAAAATAATCCTATTTCTTTGAATATATTATAAGTCTTTATTCTCTTGCTAGCAGATATCTGTATTTGACATTTAATTTAAGATTTCTGTTGCACTGATTTTAATTTAGAGAAACTTTACTCACAAAAACTATCCGTTTGCTTGTGAATGCTACTTAAATTCACTTACTGATGTCAGTTCCTTGGTGCTGCCATCTTGAAGGAAATTAAATCTCTCTCACTTTTTGAGTTTGTGTTTACTGAATTATAATTTAATTGATTTATATTTTTGAGTTTATTTACAATTATTTTATTGCTACTAATGTATTTTCCCCATAAATAGGAAAAAATGTATTATCCGAAGGAAACATTAAAGGTAGAAAAGCTTTTGTTAGTGTTCTTGAGAAATTTATCCAAAAGAAATTTAAATGTAAGTATTTTTAATGTTATTTAGAAGTATTCTGAATATCTGTTATAATATAAACTGTTCCATAATCACCGTTCTAAATGTTTATTTTTGGAAACTTAGCTTGAAATAGTGTAAAAAAAGTAATTTTATTGGAGGTTGTAAATTAATATTTTATTAAACTGTTTTAATGGTATAGTAATAAAGTAGTCTAATAGTTCTTATTGTAGGCTTTTACCTAATGTATCTAATGTATGTATGTACTGTAATGTTATGAGTAAGTTACCTCTAGCCATGAAACTGGTTTTGATGTTAGTCCCACTTTCCTTGTTGATGATTTGTGTGAATTTGATAATTTTTTTTTGTTCTTTAAATATTAAATTGTGACTGTACATATCAAAATTTTGGAAACTTTATTTTCTACATTACTTTCTAATTTGTGTTTTCTTTCTGCCGTTTACGCAAACTTTCTTTTTAACGACTTAAATTATTATGTACAATCTAAACACATATTCATAAACATAACGTTATTTATTTAATCAAAGTTAGTGATTAAGTGTTCCTAATCATTGCTTTTTAAAATTGCATTTTTAACATTTTTGTAGAAAAATATGGCAATTTTTTATTATTATTATTCCTTAGCTCTAAATAACGTGAGTAGCATTAAATTAATGAATAAATATACTTTGAGGGTAAAGTATTAAATGTAAAATTGGAATTTTAACTCTAATTTAAAAAAAGAAAGATATTTCCATTTTGCAATATAGTTTCATGTGTTCTTAAGCATTGAATTTTTACTTTTAACACCATAATTCTGAATAATGATTGTAATTTTGTAAAAAATATTTGTATTTTACAGTAGCAAATTTGTCACTTTATGGTTCTTCGGTGAATGGTTTTGGCTTCACAAGCAGTGACTTGGACATATGTATGTCATTTAGAGAAGAAATGCGTGTAAGTTACTTTTAGTTTGTTTCAGATTTTGAAATTTCAAAAATTTTTAAGTTTTCATATAAATCTTTTATTCTTTTCTAGATAAAGCCTGCACAAATATTGAGAGGTGTGGCTAATTTTTTGAGAAGAGACAATACATATGAAAATGTGATTGGGATTTATTTTGCTAAAATTCCTCTCATAAAATTTTCTTCCATTGCAAGTTTAGGCTGGAAATGTGAGATTAGCTTATCAAATGCTCTGGTAAGAATTCTAATTGACTTATTGTGTCTCATAAATATATATAGTGAGTATAATTATTAATTTTTTTTAAAAATCCTTATGTAATCGATGTTTTGATGCTATTAAAATGTTGCCAATACATCATTTGCTAGAGAATTAGCCAGTTTCAATGTAATTCAAAGCTTACAATACAAAAATTATATTTAGTATGAAACATATATAGTTTAAATTATTTTTCTAAAAATTATCTGTAAATAAAAATAAGCTCATTGCTTTGCAATTTTTTAAAGTAATAATGTCTAAATTTTTATACTATACTCATATTGCAGGAAAATTTATTTTTTGTACTTTGTCATCATTTTCCCAGCACAATTTTGGATTTATTGTTCCATAATATGTGCTAAATATTATTCTAAGCTTAATATTTTCTAACCATTTTAAAAAAAGTAACTATTAATGTCTGGTAATTGGTACAAAATAATATCGAAATTTTTATACTATCCTCATACAATAAAAATTTTGGTTACCATGCCATCATTCTTTTCTTACTTATATTTATTATTATTATTTTTTTTTATTTTTTTACTGNTTTATATTTTTTTTTTTTTTTTTTGCAGTTTGGAAATTATGATATATGCTAAATATCATTATGCTAAGCTTAATACATATATAAAAATTTTAAAAAAAGCAACAAATGTCTATTAATTAGTCAGATCTTTTCCCTTTCTTAACATAATATATGTTTTAATTGTTCTTCAATTTATACAATTATAGTATGGCATTAGTGCTCTTATGCCTGATGTATATTTTATGTGATATATATTTTAGAATATGGAAGAATTTACCCCGACCCGCCCTTATTTAGGGCATACGGGTAAATGTTTATTAAAATCAACAAAAAAAAATATCCAGAGAACAGTAGAAACATAAATTACATAAAATACACATCAGACATGGCAACAGCCCATGAACATGGCGGGCGTAGAACAGCTAAAATCATGTAAGGTGCTAAACATTAAAACAGCAATATATTAAAAGTGTCAATTAAAAGAATAATTTAAAAGAGCAATTTAAAAGATAAACGTGCAAAAATTACAAGAGAACAATATTGTAAAACAATTAAAATACTTTTATATATTTTAGAATATAAAAATAGGTAGAGAATGTTTAATAAAATGTTTTGTCCATATTGAATTGATTTACTCTTAGATTTCAATTTTATTGTTTCTTCTTATAAAATACTTTTATAGCATAATTAATTTATTTATTCATTTTCTTGTATCACAGGCTGTACACAATTCCAGACTTCTAAATACTTATGCAGAATTTGATAAACGTTGCAAAATACTTGGCTGTGCGTTAAAGCTTCTTGCTAAGGTTGTTTGCTCTCTTTCAGTTCATATGTTTTTATTTTATTTTACGGTATTATTTTATTATATACACATGTTTCTTTATTTATGTAAATCATATGAATAGTTAAGATTTTAAAATCAATTTCAGAGTTATAAAAACAAATATTTTTACTTATTACTTATACAGTTAAGATTTATTTCCAGTTATGTTGCTAATTTTTATGCCCCTAAATCTAATTTTTTGAAATTCTGTTAAGTTCCATCTTAACATCTGTTCACAATATCAGGTGGAATTATCATTTTAGTAAGCTTGTTGTTGCAAATAAATACATATATTTCATGTTAAAACAACAATAAAAAAGACTAAGGATGAAATGAACACATTTGTCCCTTTTCCTTTTATTTTGAACAAATATGTTTATTTAAAATACTGTTATAAAGTAGACTACTTTTGCCTGCAGATAGTGAACTAGAGTCGGAGTTTCTGCAAGAGACAAGGAAAAAAAAAAGCATCTTTACATCGCTTTTGACATCAATAACACCAAATATTGATTTCAATAGTATGCAGTCAAAAAAGGAAATGGATGGGAATTGTTTTTGGTCTACAAAAGATTCGTTCTTTTGATAGGTCATTTGTTGATACCATTTCCATTGTGTGGGAAATTCTATTTTCTGCCTATTTAACAACTCTGAAAATGCTACTTATGCAGAATAAAGGAGTTATTTTGAAGGACCTTTAAAACATATAAAGAGACCATTGATGTAGCAATAGAAAGTACTGTTTAAAATTTCCCCCACAGTAATTGAAACATAGCTTCAACGGCTATTGAAAAACAGCACCTACAAAAAAAGGACACTTTATGTTTTATTTTTACTTTTTTTTTTTACTTTTTATTTATATTTAATAATTATTTACTTTACATTTAAAGAAGTAAAAAATATGTTATAGATGTGTTTGTAATTGTAAATATATATTTTTTTCTGTAGAAATCTGGAATTGCAGATTGTGTGACAAAAACATTGTCATCCTACTCTTATATAATCATGACTATTCATTATCTTCAGCAAATAAATCCTCCAGTTTTGCCTGTTTTTCCAATTCTTCATAAAGAGGTAATGTTTATTTGTGTTATATATATCTAGATATATGTTACCGTAAATGACTAATATCAAGAGAATGTCGACTTTTACTAGTGAATGTCATTAATCACATAGGCGCTTTGGTGAATGTCCGAAATATTTGTTATATCCGATTTGATATTAATTTATTTGTTGATATTATTATATTTATTCGATATTTCAATGTCTGCTCAGGATAGATTAAGAGAAACATCAGTGTTCGGAGTACTGTTTAAATGTCTCTAGGTAGTGGCACTTGACCTTAAAAAAACATTGATGTAGTGCATACGGAGCAAATGTATACGGGTAGTGGCACTTAACTAGATCTAGTATATATTTCAGACATTTACCTAAATGATTATGTTATTTTTAGCATTCACAGCTGGAAGTCAACAACAACCACTTTCAGTCATTCACAGTAACATATATATTGAGATTATATAAATATATATATGTGTGTGTATATATATATAATTAAAAAATCTGGCTTTGCAACCTGTTGAGTTTATTTGTCAGACTTATGGCATGCTGTAAGTCTTGTTAGCACAGTGTAAAGTGACAATTGTTGTCAGTTTGCAATATGGTGTATGAGTTATAAATTATTTGTTTCCTCAGTAGATTCCCTATTATCCAACACTTGTGGGTGTGTTAAAGTTTTAAATTTTTGGATATAAAGGGTTACTCACAATTACTGCCCATAATATATATCATTCATTTTAATTATCTTTGTTGTAAATATGGTTAAAAAAAATAACACATTATAGATCGCAAATTGATAGCAAGGAAAAGAAAGTTGGAAAGGATATCCTTGCAGGGATTTCATTACTGAAAAAAAAATGGGTTTAAAGTTTTTACATACTGTCAATTTTTTTAATTTTTATTATGATCTCTGAATTAACTAGATTCCTATTTTAATAAATGAATATTTTATCAATGATTACTTACTTATCCTCTATCTGACTTTGGGCACTTAAGGCCTCTAGCATATTCCTCCAACGCCTCCTGTCTCTAGCAATAGATTTTGCTTCCTCCCAGCCAGATATTCCACATTCTTTTAATTCGCCCAAGAACATGCGCTGGGTGGTAATTCTGGGTCTTCCTCTTGTTCTTTTACCATCAGGGGCCCATGTAAGTGCAACAGATGTAATTTTTTCTTTGGGCATTCTAAGGATATGTCCGAGCCAGCTCCATCTTCGTTTTTTAATTTCATCTTCTATTGTTTTTATTTTAGCTTTCTTTAATAGATTTTGATTTGATGCTTTGTAAGACCAGAAAATTTTAAAAATAAATCTTAAACATTTGTTTTGAAAGGTTTCTAATTTTTGTATTTCGATCTTAGTCTGTTTCCAGGTTTCTGCGCCATATAATAGTACTGCTCTAACAATAGCTTTGTAAACAACTATTTTTGTCTTTATTTCAATATTTGACTCTCTCCAAAATTTATGTAATCCCTTAAAACATGTTCTTGCTTTGATTATTTTCTGTCTAATATCTTCACTACTTCCACCTTTTTTATCTACGATAGAACCTAAATAACTAAATGACTCTATGTCATCTATTTCGTGATTTTCGATTTTAATTTTGTCATTTTTCTTTTGATTTATTCTCATTACTTTAGTTTTCTTCTTGTTTATGAATAAACCTACACTATTTGAATGTTTGTTGAATTTGTCTGTTTTAAGCTGAAGATCTATACATTTGGATGAAATAAGTACGATGTCATCAGCAAAATCAAGGTCTTCTAAAGTAGTTGTGAAATTCCCCCTTATTCCTCTTTTTTCATCTTTCAAGCTGTTTCGCATTATCCAGTCTATCACCAGTATAAATAAAAATCCTGATGAAACACATCCCTGTCTCAGGCCATTTACTTCTATACATTTACTCCATTTACTCCATTTACTTCTATACATGCATTGCTGTTATCATACATATCTTTGATTATGTTAATATATTTCTCTGGTATATTATAAAATGATAAAATTTTCCATAATTTCTCTCTCTTAACTGAATCAAAAGCTTTACTGAAATCAATAAAGTTTAAATATAAAGAGGTGTTAAATTCTAAGCTTTGCTCAATGATATTTCTAAGTGTGAAGATTTGCTGCATTGTTCAGTATCATTGTATCAATGATTAGCTTGATGATAAAAAGAAAAAATATAGATATAGTGAGTAATTTTTCATAAATTTTAAATTACTTATTAAACATTTTTATACGCAATTAAAATATTAATTCCTTATACTTATTGTTTGGAAAATGTCAAAAAAAGTATCTGATTGTTCATTAAAACTTTTTCTTCTAAAGGGTTTTTAGTTTAGTTTGTTTTAAAATTGTAGTTCAATAAACAATAAAGAGAATCCATGTGTAGTTTCTAATAATTCATATATTATTTAAAATCATGGAGCTATAAAGATAATTCTATATTGCTATGATAATAGGTTCTATAATGCCTGTTGTTCCTGTCACCCATGCTCCCATATTTGCCTGTGTGTATGTTTCTGATCAAATATTTATGAAATCAAGTTTATTAAAAATCTTGTACCATGTATAGTGTCCAGTAAGCAAATGCCGATGAAAGACACAAAGTTCAATCAAAAAGAGAAAAAATTTCGCATGTTATTTTCCTATTCCCTTCATTTTACATCTGACTAAATACAAAGGATCATCTCTGGCAATTTTCCATTTTAACGTCGTTAACTGTATTTTATTTAAAATAAAAATATCATAAATTTTTAATTCAAAACTTTTATACCATCCTCGATAAGATATGTTTCTTTTATTTAAATTTATTTTTGTAGCATGCTGATTAACCCAGTATGTGATAACACTTGGGATATGCTATGTAAAATATAACATTGTATTTTTATAATAAACAACTATTAATAAAACATTTGTCATTGCCTATTAATAAAGTTTACCGTTTAGTTTCTACTTCTAATTTCTCTAGTTTGTACTTCTAGTTTCTAGGATTTACAGGGAGGATACGGAACAGTCAAATCTGAGAAAACAGGGAAAGGACAAGAAATTTTATCAGTCTTAGAGAATTGGGGAAATATCAGGGAATTTTACTAAAATACATAAAAGTTTTGTTGAAAAGGAATTAATTTGAGTTTGAGGTACATAAAGGTCAGATATTTTTTTTAAAATTGTTCTTGTAGTTTTTCTTAAATATATATCTTTTTAACTTTAATGGAATTTATAAATATTTTTTACTGTGAAAAACATGTCCTATTATTAACACCTTTACATTTTGTTAGTATAGTGCATTTTATGTTTAAGAATAAGGCATAACTTAAATATTAATCAAAATATTTATGTCACCAGTTTGAAAAATTAGGGAAATTTCATAAAATCAGTTCAGAAAAATCAGCCACATTGATTTAGTACTCTTAAGGTAACTTTTTATTACAAAAACAATTGTTTTCAAAACTTTTATTGTCTATCTAAATTTAATGCTACATTTTTTATAGGAATTTGAAGATAATGTTATTTTGCCAGAGAAGGTGATAAAACATAATCATTGGTTGAGTGAAAATATTTTTGAACTGGTAAGTAGTTGATGTTATGCTGTATTATACACTTAGTTTTATTTAAATAAGAATAAAATAAACCTAATTTTATGTAAAAAAAAATTTAAAAAAACGAAAAGATGCGAGTAAATTAATACTAGATAACTGAAACTAGCATTTATTAAGCTACATATATTGAGCTCTGCTTAAAGAAATACCATTGGTTTCAGCAAACTATATTTAAATAAAAGGTTTAATTAATTTTAAAGGGAGTGTTTTAGTAAATCTTAAATCCTATGTTTCTATGAAATTTTCTTTGAAATGGCATGTTTTACGTAATAAAATGTTCTGAAGGAATAAACTCATTTTAATAATCTATTAATAATTATAATTAGAGCTGTTGGTGTTAGTATCATAAATTATAGACATTCAAATTTATATAAATATGAAACAGTGCTAGTGAAAATTATTATGTACATACAAAATAATACTACTATTTATTTCCTTATGAAGAAATCAGTAATTGAAGACTGTTTTGACACATGCTTGAATATTTCTCTACCTTTTACTGTCTCAAATTCTAAATGAGGTGTGAGTGAAGTGTGTTAAAGGGAAAATCACCATAGTTTATTTAATAATTTTGCTAAAGAGATGAGTCACTTTTTAAACTTCTTCTTGACTCCTGTTTGGGGCAGAAAATACATGGTTAATATGATTATATACGGGTTTCAAAGCTGAAATAAAATGATTATATACAGGTTTCCAAGTCTATTGTAAAATGTGTAGATATAGAATGGATATCAAAAACAAAATAAAATTTTAAGTACGCACATTTTTTTTAAACATATTTTTAAGATTTTATGAGGAGCAAAATTTCAATTTTTAGTTCAAATCAAGATTTAAAAAAAAAGTGTAAGTACTTTTAATAGTTTATATTTGATAGTATATCAAAACAATTATGTAAATATTTATGTTTATAATATCAATATGAATTGCTATTTGTAAAGAAGACTGTTAAATTATTCTTTGCTGTACCATAAAGTGAAGAGGAAAATTTTGATGGTTTTTACTAGTAAAACTGCAGTTTTTACCTCTATCGGGCCAAAAACTAGTTTTCGACATCAAAAACTGAACCCTGATATCTAACTGATGTACTATCTTTTTTTTTAAAAAAAAATAATAAAAATTAATTGTACTCCTACCTACCTTTTATTTATTTCTGCATTACCTAATTTTATCAGAACAAAATTCCTGTTATTTTGTGAGGTATTTTTAATTGAAAAAGCCTACCTGCCAACTTGCAGATTTATTAAAAAAGATGTTTCTAAGTGGTTAGAAACTTTTATGTTTTAATGTATAAATCTTGGTTATTGTGTATTGTATTCATATTTTTAACATTTTAGGAACCATTTTTTGTACAAACCATGACAAATCAATAATTTATGCATAGAAATATATAAAATGTAGCTAATAGACTTACTTTTTAAGCAGGGCTCGAAAAAACTCAGAAATTTTACCCGTCCCCGAGGACGGCTTGTCCAACAATGTACCCGTCCTCCTTTGAAACTAACCCGTCGCTTCTAAATAAATATAATTTTGTCTTATTTATTACAAACATTTATAAAAATTGCACAATGAATTAGTAGTTACTAGGATTACAAATACTATAATTACATTATACAGTAATAAAAGAAATACTAGGTTACTAATAGTAAAACCTAGTATTTCTATTATGAAATAATTTATTTCTTTGATGAAATAATTTAAATAACAAAGGTTAAGTTATCTGTCAATTATCATGTCAATTTATACGATGGTACTGCGTTTTTTAAATGAATCAAATATGACATTTGCCAGTTCCACAATTAAGCCAATGATTTACAGGGGTTTCTGCATAGAAATCTGAAAGAGGTTTTCCATTTAGGTAGATGTTCATAAATGCGTTTAACGCTTCTTGTTTAAGACCAGTAAGTAATGTGTTTTTTTGTAAGTTTATTGCTGAAAAGCCCCTTTCAACCGCTGCAGTACTTCCAGACAGAGAAAACATCAATTCCACCATGCGCAGTATGTTGCTGTATTTCGAGATTAGAGTGTCATTATAGAAGTGAGGAGCTAGACTCTTGTAAGATAACAAAAATTGAAAATGTATCTTGAACATTAACGGGAAAATGGCCGTCCGTGCGGGTGCTGGATTCGAGAAATTTGTTGTCCGCGGGGAATTTTTGACCGCCGAGGACGGGCGGACGGGTGGTTTTTCGAGCTCCGTTTTTAAGTATTGGTGAAATAGCTTCATTTTTTGAAAAATTTTCAATTAATGGTAGAATCTTACAGCTTGAGGGCCATATAAATATAACATAACCGAAGTAGGAAGTTTTTTTTTTTTAATTTGCTGATAAAGAGGGAAGAAGAGTATGAGCAGTGTTTACGTACCATTCAAAAATCCGCTTTATTTTCGTATTTCTTAAGTAGTGAGAAACAAATCACACTTGGAAAAATGTTAAATTATATAATAAGTTATATTTGGGTAAATGAAAAACAAAAAAAAAGTTTATTTATAGAGTTATAAAGCTTTATAAAATCAATCAAAATATAATTTTTTTATCTTAAGTTATTTCCTATTTTGAATTTAATGTTAAAATTCTTAAAATTACTGCAAAAATTCTTAAAATTCTAAGATTACTGCAGTAAAAGTAAATGCCAAAGCAGCAAATAGGGGAATATTCCAATTTCTTATTTACCCATAGGTAAATTGCTTACCTAGTAGCATGTGTAATTAGCTTATTTATATTTGCTGACAAGCAGATAAGGGTTGTCTAAAATTGCCTAAACATGCTTACATAATATTTGAATGTAAGCATGCTTATGAAATTTACAATATTTAATATAAATACATAATATTTGAATGTAGCATGTTGGTAAAAAGGATGCTAATCGTTAATAAGACAAAAAATATGAATCAAAAGAAATCAAAATTTTCTATATTTGCATTTTTCTCCAGTAGGAGTTTATTTTTATATAAACTTCTAATGCATTTTTTGTATTGTTTTTGATATTCATATAGCGAGAGAGATATGAATATGCCTGCCATAACGAAACTGATATTGCTGAACTGTGGTTGGGTCTTTTGGATTTTTATCTGCAGTATGATCTGAGTAACGCAATTACAATAATCCAAAAGGAACCTTTATCTGCTTCTACACTTGAACGATATGCTCGATTGTTTAATATCCAAGGTAATGTCTATTCTTCTTGTTTCATTTTTTATGTGCCCTAATTTGAATCCTAAGGCATACTTTAAATGTAATTAAAATAAATTTATGCATGTTTATGAATTTTTTCTAAAATTTTTTTTTTTAAATATTTGTTTGGTACACTTTTACAGTGATGTTATATATAGTTTTTTAAGAAATGAGTAAAATGTGCATTCCCATTTTCTTTTAGAAATTTGTTAAAATTAACTTTAAATTTTACAAAGTTAATATTTGCAGAAAGTATCTTTTTTCTGTGATACATTTTGAATTATCAATATTTTCATTCGAAACACAAAATGATTTTTTTTCTATGAATGAGTCTATGAATTCTTGTGTAAGTTTTGTTTAGGAATACAGATTTTTTTTTCAGATTTCTTTAACAAATAAGATTCTTAAATGACTTTTTTTAAATATAATTTAAATTAAATTAAAATTTTATTTAGTATATATGTAATTTACTCACATAAATACATTTTTTTAAAAAAGTAAATGGCATAATCTAAACAAAATGTATGTATCAATTACATAAAAAATGCTGCATTATACTATTTAATTATTAAGTTGCTGTAAAGGGTAATATATCAGTTATGTAAAAGTAACTGAAGTTTTAAAAACAAGTGGTAAGCTGCCACCATCCTTTTTTAAAATCTGATTTACTATGTTAGTGAAAGATGTTGGATTTTAATTTTAACATTAAAAATTTTAGACGAATGAGTGATCTATATAAATAAAGCAGAATGTTTATATGCATGCATGTGTGTATGTACTTCATACAAATCCTCATTTCCAAACCAATCCTCACCAAATTTAGTGTATATACATTCTAGGACACAGTTGGCATGACCGGTTCGCTTACTACATCGAGAGAAAAAAACTTCTCCGTGGGATTTGATATTTTATAATATGACTGATTTTGTAGCTTGCAGCTCTATTCAATCAAACATTAGATCTATGAATTGTTTATCTTTGGTTTCATATATTAGGTTATCACAAATAAAATCAGTGTTAATAATTTGGCAACCTATGGGAATGACGTCATTTACTTCGTATTTTAAAAGGTATATGAAACCATATGTTTCTTATATTGATACTCTTTTATAACGTATTTCTATTGGTTGAAATTATCTATAGAAAAATTATGGTAAATTCTGCAAGTCACATTTTAAGTGATACTATATAGTATTTACTTAATCTTTCTTTTGGTGAGTTGAACTTTTAACTCAGATTATGGTAAATCTAATATTGTAAAGCTGCACTAGAATACACGGTAAGTAATAAAAAAAATAAAGCTTTTATTTTAGGTGCCATGAATGTGTAAAATAGTAATGTTGGCAGGGCCATTCTTAAAGTTGGGCAGACTGGGCTATCTCCCAGGGCTGCTGAAAGAGTTCATAACTGGTTAATGGTTATATTACAAGTTTTTAAATTCAATTAAAATAATCATCTTATATTTTATTTCAAAATATTTTATATTTTGAATGAATATTTTCTATTCATAATGTCTTGGGAGTAGACTACGGACTAGTAGATTAAATGATTGTTATTATTATTTATTTTTTGTTTTTGTTTTGCAGCTAAAATAAAAATAATTAATCATCATTTTTGACCTTTTTTACCTCATAAGTTTCTCTATTTGGTGTAAAATATCTAAATATTAATGTTTCTAATCTTTAGTCTAAGTTCTAAGTTGAATTTTTATGAGGCTTATAAAGCAAGAATGATAAAAGATTAATAAATTTTGAGAAAAATATGTGATTTTCTAAAAAAGTTGGCCAGTTTCCTCACATATTTCATTTAAAAAAATTTTCTTATTTTGTATTTATACCATGTTTTAGTGTATAATACATATATAAATGTAAATAGAAAATTTCAAAATTTTGTCTCCGAAGGTATTAGAGTAATAATGAATGTTAGAGTAATACTGAATGCGGATATATGGTAAATTATATGTATTACCTGTACATCATATTTAAATTCTAATATTGTTCAACTCTATAAAACACTTTTTTTTATAAATTTAGTATGCATCATAAAAGTAAACTTTTTGTCTAAATTGTTAATTGCACATGTCATATGCAAATGTAATAGTAAAACTACAATAACATGGTTTGCATTACATATTTCATTTGTTTTTTCAGATCCCTTTCTTCATGACAAGAACTTGGGAGGGGCTGTCTCAAATGAAAGTTAGTATTACTAATTATATGCTTCTCTGAAAGGAGGTTAGGGTATACTTAATGCTACATAGATTTGAGCAAAAAAAAATTGTGAAAGAAGCTGCACTTTTTGTGTTTTATTATTGTTTTTTGCTTCAGTTTATGCTTTCTGTTTTAATCTTTTTGACACAGTGTTTTTTAGTTAGCATGCTTTCATTTTATACCTTTTGTAAGAGTAGGATTGAATTTAGTATAAGAACAAGGTTCTGTTAAGGAGAAATTTGTGTTACCCTTCATAAATTATTTGTACCATAAAAAAGGATCTTTTAGAGATAATTTTACCATAAAAAAGACCCTTTATAAATTGTTTTATTTTAAAAATGGGCCCTATGCACGTTTTTTTTTTGTAAGTGCACTTTCTTCACAATATATTTTTCTTTAAAAAATATAGTGATTATTAATTCCCATCTCTTCTTTTTAACATTTTAAGATATTTTTGATATTTCAATTGATAAACATGAAGGAATAGTCCAGTTAAATAAATCCAGTTTGTATGTAATTTCAATCGTGATAATAAAACTTATGAAATGAGTTTATTAAAATACTGCAAAATGTTGTCAATCCTGTGCATCTGAAAACAAAGCATAAAAACTTCAGTGTCTTTTTATTACTCTTTTATTTGTGGCTAAACAAAATTCTCAAGTTGATATATCTAGAAATAAAGACTAGTGTTTATTTTAAAAACAAGTTCATGAAACAGAGTTTTGAATCAATATGGTGTTTTCTGTTTGAAAATTTCTTGAAAAACAGATATGTGTTCAGACTTTTGACAAGGACTATATATTTGAGTTGTTTAAGTGCTACAATTTGCATTTTACTAATTTTTAGTTTTTCAAAACTATACCAAAACTACCGAGAGTGTTTTATAATATGTTCAAAAAGTCTTTAATTTGCATTTATTTTATTGGTGTAATTTCATATTCAAAATATCCCAAAAATTATTTTAGAAAAAAGTACTTGGACTTATCTTTAAAATATTTTTAAAGCTTGCCCTAAAAAATATTTTCATTTTATAAAAATGTTGTTCTTTATAAAAATTTTACTCTAGCTTTATTTTTTAAGGGAACTTTTAAAAGCATTTATATAAATAGGAAATTATTCGTTCTCTTATTTTTTTTCCTACTTTAGTTAAAATTTCAATGGAATTTTTATTTCAGAGGCACATGAAATAATGAGAATTTTCCATGGAGCAAGAGTACTATTTGGTAAAGAAAAGCCAAAATCTGTCACTAACTTGAAGGTTTGTATTCACTTTATATAGAAAAAAATTTTCTTCCAAGTATTTCTTTTAATTTGCTATACTCAAAAAACGTTTAAAATTCAATGGAATTCATTAATATAATTTAAAATGCATGGGAATATGGTTAGGTTTAAACCAAACTTTTATACTGGAATATCAGTTCTTAAATCCTGTTTATGAAGACTATGTTGTTTTCTACTTCATGTTCTAGACCAGTTAAAGTTTTAAAGAAAACCAATGCTTAATGTATATTTCGTGTCAAATAACATTAACAAAGTTTATATTGTGAATATAATACAGTTAATTTCATTTATTATGAGCTCTGGTTTAACAAGATACAGGTTTAAAAAAGAAATTTTTAAAAAGTGATAAGAGTTTAGAGTTAAAAAGACTATTTAGCATACTGTTGTTATAAACGTAATTCGAATTCAACAAGAAATTTTCCATGACTCAATACAAAGTTTCTTGAAAATTATTTTATTGAAACTGTAGGAAATAATTTTTGACTGTTTGTTAGAATTTCATTCACTACAAAAAACACTTATTTATATTAATATGTTCACAAATTCTATCCAGTTTCACAATGTTCTTTATATCTTGCCATGAATCACCCAACTGCAACATATTGCATTGCAGTAACTGACATATGTTACAGCAATGCAAACAATTAAATAGATTGTACGCTTATTGCTATTCTTGTGTCTGTGTGCATGTCCCTTGAGAAATGCAGAATCTGATGGTAATGAGGAGAAAACAATTAAACCATCCTATTAGACATCAGAAGACTTGATGTAAGCTAAGAAATTGCAAACTTTTCTGAAATCAATAAGTGTTAGTGCATAGCTGCCAACTGTTCAGAATTTTTCGGATTCGTTCCTAAATTTTAAAGAAAATCCAATATTTTTATAAAAAAATATCCGAATTTTCAAAAAATTGCAATATTTATGCTTTTAAACCAATCCTTTGTTCTAATCGCCAATTCCTGTGATCATTGTGTAGAACTAATTTTTAGTAGCTTTTTATTGGAAAACACTATTCCAATAGCTGCTGCTGACCATTTCACTGAATTGAATCTTAAACTTCTACTGAGATATGTTATTATTATTTTTTGAAAAATGCATTGTAGTATTTAAACACTATGAAAAAGCTTGCGTCAGAAATATTTGTTTATGATGCATATTATTATTTACCTGTGTTTCGTTATTTGGAGAATAATAATTATATATTAATAAGTAAAGGTAGTTTTTAAACCATTATACTGGTATTCCTAATTATAAGATATTGATATTGTAAATTTTCCTCAAAAAATAGAGCTTATAGTTTTGCTTTCCTAATTTACATAAGGTATTTACATATATTTTTATTAATGTTCTTAGTTAGATAGTTTAAATTTTGTCTTACTTTCGTAATTGGTGCGTATAATTTTGTCATATATAGTGTTCCTAATTTTTGACTCCCTAAGGTTGGCAGCTATGTTAGTGATTAATATCTTGTATGTAGAAAGTCAAATAATTTTAGCGATTTTATCATTAAGCACTCAAACATTGTTCCTAACTGTGTGAATAAAAAATTAAAAATAGTAAGTTATTTTTAAACTTTTTCTAACAACTTTTATTTCTGATAATTTTGTTTGATTGGGTTTTAACAAGGTCCATGATTCAACAAGTGAATCATCTCTGTTCTTACATTCTCATTGTAAATGATTTTGACTATTGTATCGATTAGAATTAGAAAGATTTAAAATACATAAATTTTTAGCTTTTATAATATCCGTATTGAATTGATAAAGTAGTCTTTAATCAGGCTATAATTGAAGGAGAAGAGATAAAATATGGAAGTTGCTGTTATATGAAAAATAGAATCCTAATATACAGTTTTTATAGTTTAGTCAGGAGAGCAGTTGAAATTTTGGTGAATTTTCATATTTCATTCTTATTATGAAAATATTTTTACCCATATTGTTAATAAAATGGTAATTTTAATCTAAATTTAGTTTTTAAAATTTTTTATTGTATATTTGAATAGTAAGTGAAAAATACAAATTTTTACATTATTTTTAATCATTTAATTTTAAATGATAAACCAAAGTTTAAGAATTGATCGAAAATTAAATTTTAATTGCACATTATTTTTAAATATCATTGCTGAATCATCCAATCACTATATCAAAAGTCATTAATTTATTCTATTTTTTATATTGCTCACATTACTTTTTTTTTCTTTTAAAGCATGAAATCTAACATTAATGTCTTAAAATGCCTTGCTATTAAGCAGATAAATGCAGAATATGTTTATGTTATTGCTTTTTAATGGCAGTTCAATGATAAAACTCCATGTGGCCTAAAATTGTACATGAGTTGACAACAGTTTTGTTAGAATTACAACTCCTGAGATACTGGAAAGTGCTTATGTATTAGCTGGCATCATTTTAAAAATGGGGCTATGGCTTATTTAGAAATTTTTATATAGTTTACATTTTGTATAACTTTAACTTTTAAAAACTTCCTAAATATTATTTCATATATTTTATTCATTTATATTTTAGAGCCATTACTTTTCTACAATGAACCTCACTGGTAAATACATCAAAGATTTAGATTGTTCATTATGTGGAGCTTATGGACATGATATAAGTAAATGTAAAAAGTCAAATCAACAACAATCACGTGGAAAATTTTATTTCAGTCATAGAAATAAAGTGTAAATTATATAAATGATATGAACTGTAACTAATGGCAAAAAGTTTCATTTATTTCTTTTTTTTTTTTTCAAATGAAGCCTTTTATGTAAAAACTGTACATATGTTTAAAAATTTAATAGCATGTTATCGAATTTTATTATACATTTCTTTTTGTATGCTTATTTTTTAATCACATTTCTAAGTAAAATATCTTTTGTATATAAACATAGTTGAATTACTTTTAGAAAAACTAGTCAAAAATTTTATAATTTGATATAATTTATTTTTAAATTTAGCTTTCTTAACATAAATCCAACATTTATGTTTTTCTCGCTTCAATTTTTTAATTGTATGTCGACCAATGATATCTATCTTTAACTTCTATATACTGTTGAAGTAACACTGATTGTATAGTAAATATCACCTTAAAATTGATACAAAACAGTTTCAGGTCTTAACTGTTAAACATTTCTTCTTCAAGTTTCAAGACATTACCTATTTCTTTGTTCATATTTGTTTCTGTTCTGAAAGTTGTTTGTAAAAAAATGTACTTTATGATTCATGAGTAACTTTAATATTAAATATTTATAAAATTGTGAAAATGACAGAAAAGACTATGTTTCTTTTCAAATTTTGAACTTCTGAAATTCACAATTCTAGATAATTTGTGATATTTTATTATTGTTATGAAAAAATTGTGTTAATCTCAAATTTTTTTTAGAAATTAAAATTTTAAAGTAATGTAATTTTGTTACCTCTATTTTTCTAGTGTTAATATATTCAACGTAAAAAATTCTTCCATTAAAATATAATATCAAGTTATATAATATATTTACAGGTAATATTATTTGATTTCTAATATAATTGTTTTTTAACTCTTTTAGATATATTTTTATTTTTGAAATTTAAAAAAAAATGCATAAAAAGAAAGTATTTTGGTTAATGCATAAATCAATTTAAGTAATCAATTTAGGTGATTTTTTAACACTATAATTCAGTGAAACATCAAAATGCAACAATTATTGAATAAATAAATACTTGAGAGAAAAAACAGTTTAATGTATAGAGAAGTGATCATACCTGAAAAGAGTTTGCAATTGACCATCAAGTAGCTATTGCTAAAACATGAGTAAACTATTCTGCTACTTTTATTTGCTAAGATAGATTATTATTGGTTCCTCTGCTTCTGATATTTCACCACCTTTTTACAAAACATTTTAATGACATTTCTGTTTATAACTTGATTAGATTGCATTTTTTACAAGATTTAAAACTTTTATTTCATTAACAAAAATTATTTAAATTTGGCTCTCTGCATATGTTTTGAAATCTTTTTTAAATATTATGAGCATAATAGTAAAAGCTTATTCATATTTTTCACGCCAATGAGTTAATGTAATATAATGTGTGATGAATATTTCAAATATGTGAATCCTTTAATTCAATATTTATTTTCTTTATTATTTATACTTACCAATTTTCTGTTTTTTTTAATTGTGTATCTAAAAATAGATATTTTAAAATACTTCTTTAATTGCACTCACATCTAAAGATTTATTCAATATCTGTTAATAACAATGTATTTAAACATAAGACTTTTGTATAAACATTTATAAATACAATACTTACACATTTTTACTTTTTTGTTTATGTGAATATTGTTTTCTTAAAGTTTGAAAATAATTATGGTTGTTAAATGTCAAAATTTAAACAATTACTAAAAATGAAATTTCAAAATTACATGAAATCTTAAAATGTATATATTATAAACAATATATTTAATTTGCTCCCAAAATTCTTAAAATAATTATAGTGAAAATTTATTTTTTAATTATATTGATTAACTATAAATTTTGTACGATATTGAGTTCTTATTTTATAAATTAAATGTATTAGCATGTATACATGCATTTATTAAAATTTACCATACATTGACTTAATATTACTCTTTATTGTGTATCTACTCTAATTTAGTATAGGACGACTTAATTAAAAGTATTTGAATTTTTTTATTTATTTTAAAATAAGATAAGCTTCATTTAACAAATTTATTTTTAAGCACTTTGTAAAACATGATTATTAAAATACAATTATATTAATAATAGTTGTGTTTTTATTGCTACAATTCTTTAGCAACACCTTTTTCTTGTTTAATTTTTATCAGCCTATTTATACATTGAGTTTTTATTGTCCACAAGCAGCAAAAACAATATAATTTAAACTCAGTACTTTACAATAACTCATTGGATTAACCAATGAGCCATAGCCGCTCTTAGCCATTACTGCAAAAGTTATGCCAATTTGACATTTTAAACTCTAACAATGATCCTACTGAAATAATAAAAATAAATCTGTATGTCTTAATTAATGGGGAGAAGGGAGTTGTATTTATACTGCTATGAAAAATATTGACCCAAATTCGATCATCCTGTTGCCAGATTTTCAAATTTTTGCAGCAGTTTTTTTAATTTTTAAAAGAACAAGTATATTCAATGCTCTTTTTCATGCAAAATTTCAGTTTTTTTTTTCTCCAATACTTTTTTTAATGCTTCCTGTTTGAGTTTTGCCCTCTCTGATATTTCCGTCCAATTTAATTCATTTGCATGCTCAGTGGATCTCATTATAGGCTATTTTTTCCTTGTTTTGAGACTTCTTTTTATCAATTTTGCCAAATAAATACATAATCTAGTATTTTTCCTTTAAGATAACTGTTTACTTGCTGATTTTATTGTTAGAAAATGAAAATCAATTCCGTCAAACGAATTTTTATCGCAATTTTTTATTTTGGTTATAGTATAAAAATAAATACTGTTTGTAATTTTCAATTATGCATTTTAATATTCATTAAAAGTTCGACTAAATATTATAATTTTAAATTGTACAAAATATTAAATGTTTTTTATTGTATTAAACTTTTTTCTTACTTAACATTCACTGTAAATGTAGACAGACAATAAAAATAAACCATATAAAATAAACAAATCTAAATATTTTATTGGTTTTTTTTTCTATTTAATATCAATATTTAACATACAACAGAGTTTAAAACACTTACAACAACAAATTACAGTTGCCATTTTTTGTCAACAAATAAAAAAGTAATAAAAAAAGCAAAATAATAAATGATTGAATTCCACTTTCAATAGGTAATATAATCACACACTGAAATGTACAAATATTTGTCTTTAATAAATGCATTAAAAATAGGAATAAAATAAGAATATCCAAAAGAAACATGAAAAAAGAACAAAAATATAAAAACAATATAGTTTAACTAAAGTGACTATTGAATTGCTTACAGCAATTACTTTGATCTTTTAAATTATTCAACAATTAACTATGAAAAATATGCTTCAAACCCTCATGTGCAAAATTATGTAATAAATAAAGCGTAAAGCACTTCAAAAAATAGCTACAAGAAAAACAACACAAAATTAGATGAGATAGTAACTTACTTGCATTGATGATATTTAAATTTGATAAAATAAAACTGCCTTAGAGAAACATTTGATTGACAAACTGTTTTATTATGTACAATCAAGGAAATTAAAACATTAGTTACTTGGAATTGTATGTACTTAAGTTTAAATTACATAAAAAGAAAAAAACTTTTTAAAAAATCATTACTATTACATTTCACAAAAAAAATAAATATTCTTACAAACAAATATTTACATTTCAATAAAAAAATTTTTTCTTTTCTTTAAAACATACTGAAATTTTTTTAAAGCCTAGTGATACTAATTGTTGAATAGCTTGAATTCCATCATTGCATATATAGATCCTGATTATCTGAATATCTCTGTAAGTCAATTCCAAAGTGGTTTACAGTCCCATCTAGTAATAGTTTTCATTATTTTTCAAAAACTTACTCTCATTTTAAATCTATCCGCTAATTACTTGCATGGTAAAATGTGCCTGTTAATGGGTTATAAAATAAGAAATAACAGCACATGAGAGTTCATCACTGGTTTATTTTAGAGGTAATTATAACTGAATTCCCATTTTAAAATAAAGCATTCAAATATATATATTTCATACAATATTTATTTATAGTAAGTAGTATACATAGTAGTTATATAATATAATGAGTAGAGCAAATTAGTAATTTACATTTAAAAAAATTAATTCAGCATTGCAATATAAATAATGTTCACTAGATACTAATTAATAAATTTAAAAAGCTTTAAATAATTTTTTTTTTAAAATTTTACATCAATAATTTCAAGCAAACGAAAGAAACAGCACAGCTAGAACATATGGTTAAAACCTTGCTCTGTTTAAACTGAGCAGCAAAGCTCTCAACTAAACAGATTTCAAATTTATGACTTATGTAACCTAACAGATTGCATTGATTTGTAATTACAAAGCTTTAAAAAATTTCAAATATTTTAGTGCAAAATACATCAGGAAAGGGATAATTCATAAGTAAAAAATTTATAAATGTATGATTAAACTGCACATGCCATTAAAAGAATGCATTTCTTTTGTAATATCAGATCTATATTTCATTAGGTTGTGATATGTTGCTTGAACCTAGTATGTTTCTGTACCAATGGAGGAAGAAATTTTTTTATTAATATTATTCTATATTATATTTCTTAAACCCAATCCAAAAGTTTTTTATGTATATATTTGGATGCCCTACAGCAGTGCTTTCCCATGAAATAGTACACAAAAGATTATTTAAATTTGAAATTTTTTTTAAATTCTTAATAATAAAAAAAAACTATATGAACCTTGTGAATTGACTAAAATATGACTTTATACTACTTGGTAATTATTACTTAAAAAGAGTAATCAAAGACTTGCATTTAGTTAAAAGTATACATTCTGTTTTATCCATATCTAATTCTATGTCAAAATACAAGTAAAATTAAATTTTTCAATAAATGAAAATAAAAAGTGAATATAGAAAACATCAACAAAAGAGAATGATATAAGATAAAAACTTAAATTTTTTGATCAGTTTTTAATTACTTGTCTTAGAATGAAAATATCATAAATAAAATTTGATAAATCAGATAAATAAAGAGTCTCTTAATCAAAACAAAAATGATAAATAACAATATCTTTCAAAAACTGGTTCATTAACTCTTTATTTAACAGATTTTTAAAAAAAATTGCTCAAGAAGCGACTAACAATTTCATGGGTAGAAGGAGATGAATATAGAAAAAATTACATCTTAAAAATGGAAATTTTATTTACAACAACTTATAACAATAGCAACAAGTACAGGTATTAAAAGTTAGCACACATCTGCAATTCAGTCAAGATATAAATAAAAAAGGGAAAAAGCAGATACAGCAAAAGCTTTTACATAACTAACAGAATTAATAGTGAAAGATCTCATGAGTTAGTAATAAGTTTCCACGCAGAGCAATATCTTTTTTAATTAACATTAGAAAAAAAATAAAACAGCTTGCTAAGTAGAAAAACAACAAGGTTTTGCTCTGAACAAAGTTCAGAACTCATGTTTAAAAAGTAACACCACATACTTGCAGTTTTTTGACGTCTGCTGCAAGGAGTTTTAGAACATTTATATTATTTAACTTTCCCCTGCTTATATTCTTCAGCTTTACTCAAGAGTTGGTAAGCAGAAAGTAAATTTTCTTCAATATTTTATTTTTAAAATTTTTTTTTACGAAATCACTAGTTTAAAGAAAATGTTAAAAATATTATTTAATCATGTGTTAAATGGCCTGCAGTCAAGTATGTCATTCAATTTTTCCAGTAATCAATAAATTTATTAAAAAACTATTAAATTTTTTTTTTTAATATAACATAAAACAAAAATTAAATAATTTATTGGTCTAATAGCAGTGATCATGCCGAAAGGAATTTCATTAATAGCGGAAAATAGGTTCAGTGAAAATAAATTTAGTTTCTAATAATTGATAATTATAGTTATATAATATAGAAGTAGTGTAGTATTTATAACTAACATATTGATTAATAATAAAGCAATGTAAAATTAAAAATTCCTACATTAATTAACAATGTTAGAGTAATATAGATTTAATAATTATCATGTTAATTAATATAGAAGTAATGAACTATCAATAATATAGATATGAGATTTTATTTATACACTTGATTAATAGTATTGTGATCAAGAAAGATCATGTCAAAAGGAATAATTAGTAATCATAGTGGTATAATATAGTATAAATAACTCCCATATTGCTTGATTACAAAAAAAGTGATGAAATTTATTTATAATTAAGCAATATATTTAAATAATATATTACAATAATACCCAAGATAATTAATGTTAGAGTAATATAGATTTAATAATTGTGCTAATAATATAGTTGTAATGTAATGTTGATAATCCCCATATTCATTAGTAAAATAGGAGTAATGTAGAATTAATAATTCCCATATTTAATAATACAAAATTAAAGATATAATAATAGTTCCTATTATTAATGATTTTTAACACTACATACAAGATAACATCAACGCCACTGACATTAGTTTCAATAAAATATCTCATTTTTTTGTTTCATAAAAATGCACAAAAATAATATCAACAAGAATTATATTTCATAAATTAATGATACAATTCATGGCAGCTAGTAAAAGTAAAATTAATAAACCCCTAATTTAAGCCAAGTAAATTTTATATTTTAAAATTTATAAGTAAAGATAGCGGTAAAAATATGTGAAAAGGAATGAATTTCATTTAGTGCAGAATAAAAGAAAAATGAACATACTACTTTCTATTTTAATTTTGTGATAGCAGTGATTTTAGAATATTGAAGTTATTTAGTAATATAATAAATGTCCAATCATTTATTTTTATTACTCAAGATTTAAAAAACGATACTTTAAATAAAATATCTCGTCAATTTTCTTTTCACTGAAAAGAAAATTGCCAAAAATTTGTAAGTAAATTTATTCTGAAATTATTTAATCTACAGTAGTCTTCCTATAATGGAGTCTTTCTATACGGAATTTCTTCCTGCTAAAAATTTTTAATCAGCATATTAAAAAACATAAATATCCTCTTAATAACAAATTTTCAAACATTTTTTTTTCGATTTCTGTCTTTTCTAAAGAACGTTACGATTGATAGATTTTATTGGAATTTATGTGAAACCAATGTGCTCTTGCAAATGCCTATTGCTAGAACCGCTGACATACTATATCGGAATCTATATCACATAATAGAATTCTATGTGAAGAAAAAAAGAACCCTTTTATTCTCCTTGTATTATGAAGATCAAACGTGCCACTCCAAGGACCGGATTAACCTATAGGCACACACCTAGTGCCTACGAAATTCAGGGGCCTACAAAAAACTTGGGAGAAAAAAATTTGTTAACAAAAATAATTTAGCTTTAAAAACAACAAGTGTATTTTGCACAAAATTATGAAGATACAAATAAAAATATAATATTTTTCGCTAATAAATTATTTTGCAGAATCTTATGATATTACTTTTTTTGCGATTTTTGGATTCAACGAAATCTCGTATTATGCTGTCGAATTCCAAACTACGCAAAATGTCGTATTCAATAGACATAAGTGCGAGCGATGCCAAACGATCTTGATTCTCTGGAGAAAGATCTTTCTCCTTCTGCATTTGGTCCAAGAATCGACAAATATATTCTTGATGTGAAGTGTTTACATTGTTATCAATCGAACTAGTCATAATGGTATTATCGATATCAACTGCAATATCGGCAGTATGTCGGCATTGCAGATAAAGTTCGATAAACAAATTTGTAAATTAAAATCCATATTAATAAAAATGTTTAAAAAAAATATGCAAGAAAATTTTAGCATATATTTTGAAAAGAGGGGAGGAGTGGGGAAAGGAGGGAGGGCCCAAAAACGGCTATGCCTAGGGCCTACGAAAGGTATAATCTGGCTCTGGCCACTTCCATATTTAATGATTTTAATACATTTAAATGTATTAACTCCATTTTGAATTAAAACTCATAACTATATATTTTTGAACTTATTACACACACTAAAACTGTAACATTTATGTAAATAAGCTGTTCCAAATAGTGTTCAGTGGAGGGTCACACTAACAACCTCCCTGTAAACCTGTAATTATATTTATATCGAATCAATCCATTATTTATTTAACATTTTGGTTCTTTTTATGAATTATTTAAACAAATACCAAATATATATATATATATTTCAAACTACAATAGATTGCATAAATTATGAAAAAGAGATGCATTTTTATAATATGCATAAGTAATTCAAAATGAACTTTTCAATTCAAAGGAAATAACCAGATTTAACAATACGGCAATCTGTTTTTCTGATAACCATTCTAAACGATTTTTATTATTATTTAAATGTAAACCAAAAACAAATTCAGAAGTAAACTTAATGCTGCTGCAAACCTTAAAATTCAATTTTCTGACATAAAACCTAATTTTAAGACTATTATTAAAACAAAGAAAAAAATTTATTTCTTTACATTAAAATTTTTTCCTGACTCAAATAACTGCAAAGATATCTAACCTCCATAGAATGAAATACTTTCTAAAGCAAATGTCTCTTCTGGAACCAATGAATCTTGTCATAGAGAGACACCCCTACCTTTATTACCCATTTCATTCCAATAGAATGAAAATGATTTAAATTTCTTAAATCAACAAGTCATTCAGTGCATTTAATATATAGGTAAAACTAGCATCTCTAATAAGTCCACCAAGTTCATTTCATTTCTTGAATTTTTAAATAAATAACCCTAACCATTGAAATTTACAATCTACATCCAATAAATACTAAAGCATTCAAATTTCTAAAATAATTTTTTTTTAAAAATGATAAATTTTCCATATGATATAAAAATGTTAATAATTTATTTTAATGATATGCTATTCCACACTATTTCACAACTACAAGTGCCTTTGCGACACTGAGAGCGAGTAAAAGGTGCAGATGTCAAAAATGATGAACTTGCTGGTAGTTGCTTTCTTTTTTGGTGCATTTGATGAGCCATACTTTGGCAGGAATATTCAGCACATCCGGAAGAATTTGTTGCTTTCCTTTCTAAGCTGGTCGATTTTAACTTTTTAGTGGGAATCCTCCTGTTCTCCTCTAACTGGTGAGACTTCTTCTTTTGTGCTGAATTTCTGTTTGCTATCTGTCATCTTGCTGTAGTATCGTCTCGAGAAGGAGTGATTTTGCTGTGGTAAACAATAAACACAAGTCAGTAATTTTAGTAACAAGTTAGTAAAAGGACATAATGCAATTTTTTTGCGGGCAAATACAGGGGTTGGACAAAAATATGGAAATACTTCTATATTAACTAATTTTTTCGGATTTCTGCAGAAATACTTACAGAATTATTCTACAACTTTAGAAGTATTTAGGTTATGCAATTTCTCATACATGTGAATAAAGTTTAGAGCTTTCAGAGATTTGACAAAAGGGCAATGAATTGTGAACGAAAAAGAGTGCTTTTGATCACTGTACACTAAAATAAATATAGCAATAACTGCGCAAAATCTCCTAAACTGAGCTCAAATATTTATGGAGATATGGATACTTATATTCTTAAAAAAAACTAACTCTTTTGCCTACGCTTCTTACTATAACTGTAGAAAATTTCAATAAAATTAGAAAAATTTTCAGAGTAATTCTTAATTAATAACAAAAATATTATTTCAGAATTTGAAAATAATTCTTTAAGGAGTGAGGAAGATATGAGCATTTAAGGCAGTCTTTTAATACTGCGCATGCTCGGAAAACATTAAAAAAAGAATTTTTCATAATTTTATTCTGAATCGTACTTGGCAACTAATGAAAAAGTTCCAATTTAAGCACCTAGAAAATTTTTAAAAGTTTCTAGTGATTTTCTAATGATGAAGTTACTTATTATTTTGTGTTAACTTAATGCAAAATAATTATTTTTAAATAATTCTCTAAGTATTTCTTGAGAATTAGGAAAAAAATGTGTTAGTATAGAAGTGTTTCCATATTTTTATCCATCCCCTGTATTATATATCTAACACAAAACAGCAAGAAATTAGAAACTAAAATTTTAGCTAAGTTTTGTTCTTTGCACACCTTTCAGTTTAAAACGAAACATAAAAGATAGGTGAAAAGTTGTGTTATGATTTTTTTTTAATATCTATCCAAATACGTTTTTTTCCACTTTTTATATTTGATAATAAAAATTAAATTTCAATACTAACAAAACGAATATACACAACAGAAAAAAATCATTCTAAACTACAGTCAGAATTTTAACAAAAATAAACTTGATTAAAATAATACAAATTACAGTCAATAATACTAAATATTGGGCGGGGGAAACTCAGACGCTTCGAACACAAACACAATGAAAATCAATACCCCGACTTTTTGCTGATTTATTGAAACTGGTTTTATCATTTCCCGCTTTTTGTATGGAATAAATTTTATAATTATATTTGAGATATGTCGGTCTTATTCAGGGGCAAAAATATATTATGAAATAATTTTACTTGCTATTAAAGTCAAAAATAACAATTTCTTAAACCAGGGAACAGAGTTGACAGATGGAACATCATAATTTCTTATAATTAACTTCTATTTTAACTTTATGAAAAATCGTAGTAGTTTAATTTGGTTTTATTGTGTTGGCACTAATCTTATGTAGATCAGCATTGGTATAAATAAAACTCACATATATTACAAATGATGTTTCTACATATCATTATCTTATGATCATCATGAGAGTCTTGTTTGTCTTGCGTCCATCATCATATTAAGCTTATAAGTTGGTTATTTAATGTTATGTCTCGTATTCTTCATTGTTGATTGTGTAGACATTGACACTAGGGCTGGACGATATAGAAATTTCTTAAATCGATATAATCAACCCTTTTATATCACGATATTAGGTTATATCGATTTAACAATTTAAACGACAAAACTAAGAAATAAATCCACAGTACCCCTTCCTCTATTCAAATGTATTGTCGTTTTTTTCTTAACTCCCTTACAGTCAACTCCTAGTCCACAGAAATTTTGACAAAGTTGTTCTGATTATGAATAATTTTTTGCAGATATTCAAAAGCTTAGTTAAATACTACAATTTACTAATTTTACTCTGTAACTTTTCACTAAAGGTATTGGAGAATATTGTTTACCTCTTTCTTTTGCAAATACAAAATAAGAAATAACATAATATATGAATGAATTTTTAAAAGAAGTAATATTTTTAAATGTTTCACCATAAAATAAAACTGCAACATCGAAAGCCTTTCAATTTTATTATTGTTGTAAAAACACAATTAATAAAAATTGTTGCATTGACAAAATCTTCCAGAGCAGTGACTTCATTTCCCTCCAGCATTAGGTGTTTTTTTTTGCTGGATAGTCTTTTAATAACTTGCACAATGGCAACTGGTTTTCTAAAACCCTTATGCACTATTTTGAGGTGCTCCACCAACGTGTGGGACATGCACTTGGCAGCTTTCTCACTTCTATCTGCAACAGTTCTTGAGCATTTTTAAAGTCTCTCGACATCTTCCAACTATGGGCAATAGTGTTTTGCAGCTTCTTCACCCTAACTACTGCTTTTTGCAGTAGTGAGTTTTGCAAAGCTCTATTCACACCTATATTTATGCTGTGTCCGAAGCAGGGCATATGTTGTATGTTTAATGCAGAAATCGCTTTCAAAATATTTGAGCCATTGTCTGTCGTACAACAGTTGATCTCTTATATGTTTATATCCCAATCTAATAATTGTTCTTTTAATACCTCATTTATATTGTCAGATGTATGATTTACATCAAAATGCGGACAACTGAGGCAAGGGGATTTTAAGTTCCAATTTTTGTCTACATAGTGTGCTGTAATAGCAATACTATATAATATATATTCAAAATTTGAATTTCATATTTTTTTCTAAGCAATGAATCAAACTATCTTACTTGATTTTATGAAGTGTATTACTATTTATAATTTGTAGTAAGTGGACAATTTTTAAAAGTATCAGGAATATAGTGCTGGAGAACTTTAAATGGTATTCAGACTTTTTATTATTTCCAAAGTAATTTTAATAATAATAATAA